CGGGGCAGGGGCTTGAACCTGAAGGGCCCTCACCTATGCCGGATCCTCAGGAGCAGACACCAGCTGAATCTGCTCTGGCTCCGGAGGTGATCAAGGACCCATTGCCTGCAGGTGCTCCACTCTCAGCCCCGTCAGGGGGAGGTGAGGTTGCCTCTGGGTCCAGTAATCCTCCAGCCTCTCCTGAGCTGCAGAGGCTTAGGGCAGAGAGGCAGAGGGAACTAAGTTCCCGCAGGAGGAGTGCTTGCCTCCAGGCCAGGAGAGGTGAGTCACCTGTGGACCGGGGCCGCCCTATGCCTCAGAGGAGATAAAGGCCAGCCCACCCAGTCCCAGGTTGTGGGAGCAACATTGTTGGTAGCCTGTTCCTGCCTGTACCCTGTCCTGCTCTTCTGCCAGAGTTTCTCACCTCCCCCGACTCCCTGCCTTGGACCCCGCTTCAGCCTTGATGGACAGCCCCCATACCACACCTTTGACCTCGGACTGGACTCGGACCATGCCACGCGGTAACCCCCCGGGACCAGCACACAGGGGCTCCATGGCGCATTCCTGTCAACTGTCTGGGGCACCCTGCTTTGCGGGAGCATGATGTCGCTTGGGTCATGTGACTTACACCGGAAGACGTGTGGCACAGTTTTGCCCTGGGACACGTTGGAGGGCATAGCAGCACCGTTCACATAACAAAAACTACCATAAATATATATCAACAGTTTCTAAAGTAGGGGTTCCATGGCTTGGCTTTTGAAAAACAGGCGGTCTGCAGTACTTAGCTAATTGGGAACTGCTGTCATAGAGGAAAGGGATAGCATTTGCTTGGTCAACCTGCCATTGGCATCCAAACGACATATGTAAAACAAAGAAAATGGGTAGGGCGCTTATAATTTCTTATCACTGAGAGCTGCTTGAACTGAGGTTAGCGGGTACTTGATACGAGTGTGGAGTAAACTTTAACTTAAGCTGCAATCTTATACCCACCTAACCTGGAAGTAGGCAACACTGAATTTGATGGGTCTTAGTTCTGTGTAGATATGGACTACTGCAATGCGCTCTACGTGGGGCTGCCTTTGAAGGTGACTCTGAAACTGCAATTAATCCAGAATGTGGCAGCTAGACTAGTGACTGGGAGTGGCCACCGAGACCATGTAACACTGGTCCTGAGAGGCCTGCATTGGCTCCTAATATGTTTCCGAGAATAATACAAAGTGTTGGTGCTGACCTTGAAAGCCCTAAACAGCCTTGGCCCAGTATACGTAAAGGAGCATCTACACCCCACCGTTCAGCCCGGACACTGAGGTCCAGCTCCGAGAGCCTTCTGGTGGTTCCCTCACTGTGAGAAGTGAGGCTACAGGGAACCAGGCAGAGGGCCTTCTTGGTAGTGGTGCCCACCCTGTGGAACGCCCTCCCATCGGATGTCGAGGCAATAAGCAACTTATCTTACTTTTAAAAGACATCTGAAGGCAGCCCTGTTTAGGGAAGTTTTTAATGTTCAATGCTGTATTGTGTTTTTAATATTCTGTTGGAAGCCGCCCAGGGTGGCTGGGGAAACCCAGCCAGATGGGCGGGGTATAAATAATATAGTAGTAGTAGCAGCAGTATAAGATTGCACTGGCTGTCACATGCTACAATAGGCAAGGATTGCTGCTCATTTGCTGCCAGTTACATCTTCCCCGGTGTGAGCAGAAGAAGCAAGCCTGAAAGCCACATTTAAGCTTGTCTTTCCATTACATCAGGGACGCAGGTGGCGCTGTGGGTTAAACCACAGAGCCCAGGACTTGCCGATCAGAAGGCCGTGGTTCGAATCCCTGTGATGGGGTGAGCTCTCGTTGCTCGGTTCCTTCTCCTGCCAACCTAGCAGTTCGAAAGCACATCAAAGTGCAAGCAGATAAATAGGCACCGCTCTGGCGGGAAGGTAAACAGCGTTTCCGTGCGCTGCTCTGATTCGCCAGAAGTGGTTTAGTCATGCTGGCCACATGGCCCGGAAGCTGTACGCCGGCCAGTAAAGCAAGATGAGCACCACAACCCCAGAGTCGTCCGCAACTAGTCCTAATGGTCAGGGGTACCTTTACCTTTACCTTCCATTGCATCCAAAACAAGGTTTGTGGTTTGTTGATCCAGAAGAAGCTGTGATCTATAAGCCAACAACAAACCATGGTTTAAGGCTCACTGGCACTTGTGGCTTGTTAGGGGGCAACAAACCACAGTCAAGGGTTCAGGTGTAATGGAAAGCCAAGATTAATGGCGTCATCTTGGTTTGTTTCTCCCACTCTAGGAGAGTGAAGTGGAAGTGATTGGGCAATGCACACTATCTTGCTGACTGATCTCAGTGAACCAATGACAGGGCAGACGCCAACTGGAACTTGGAACCTCTGTATTGATGATCAAACTTTTTTTTATCAACAAGCCAATCTGAATGCATTTTCTCAAGAGTATATATCAAACACATACACTTGCACACATAAACCTGCACGTTTTTATTATATGTATATCATGCCAAATTCCAAATTCAAGTACATTTATTTGCGTCTATATTAGTCAAAAATAGAACACTGCATTTTTAAATCCTCTAGCTAATATTGCAGATGCGTTCCGGTTTCATAAACCTACTTCCAGTTGTTTGTAAGTGATAGAAAATCGTTTTGGGCCAATTAGCGTTCATTCTTGGCACTACTCCAAGGGTAAATTAATTTGGAAACAGTTGAAAAGAGGGGGGGACTTCATTTCTAGTGTTTTAAGTTACGTTTTTTAAATTTAAAAAAATCACCACATTTACCACATTAGACAGAAGAAAGACTAGTCCCGTCCCCCCCTTTAACTTCACAAGACTTCAGCTGACACAGCATGGTAGCTGCTTTTCTGAATTATCTGAAGTTTTTTGGCTGGCCTTGAAGATGAATGACATTTAGAATACATTGGCAATGATAAAAACACAAACGAATTTGAGGACCTGTTGGAGATATGCTACAATAGTTTAAAATGTCTTTTATTACATACGGTAATCCAAGCTATGGCTTATAGGGCTGTGTGGGCTCCCACAAGAGGACCTTACAGCTGAGAGCCAGTGTGGTGTAGTGGTTAAGAGCGGTAGTCTCGTAATCTGGGGAACCGGGTTCGCGTCTCCGCTTCTCCACATGCAGCTGCTGGGTGACCTTGGGCTAGTCACACTTCTTTGAAGTCTCTCAGCCCCACTCACCTCACAGAGTGTTTGTTGTGGGGGAGGAAGGGAAAGGAGAATGTTAGCCGCTTTGAGACTCCTTAAAGGGAGTGAAAGGTGGGATATCAAATCCAAACTCCTCCTCCTCCTCCTCCTCCTCCTCCTCCTCCTCCTCCTCCTCCTCTTCTTCTTCTTCTTCTTCTTCTTCTTCTTCTTCTTCTTCTTCTGTTTTGCTCCACCTAGGTCCTTTTTTTTGCTGCCAAGGGGGTGCAAGTCTATCTCCTGGAGCCTTCACATTCATGGGGTACCGCTAAGTCAGAGTTTGGTTTACAGTACCATGTGAAGCAGCTCAATGCAATACAGTCATACCTTGGTTCTCGAACGAAATCCGTTCGGGAAGTCTGTCCGACTTCCAAAAACGTTCAGAAACCAAGGCGCAGCTTCCGATTGGCTGCAGGAGCTTCCTGTGGAGAGCCAGCGTAGTATAGTGGTTAAGAGCAGTGGACTCGTAATCTGGTGAACTGGGTTCGCTCCTCGCTCCTCCACATGCAGCTGCTGGGTGACCTTGGGCCAGTCACACTTCTCTGAAGTCTCTCAGCCCCACTCACCTCACAGAGTGTTTGTTGTGGGGGAGGAAGGGAAAGGAGAATGTTAGCCGCTTTGAGACTCCTTCGGGTAGTGATAAAGCGGGATATCAAATCCAAGCACAAACCACGTCGGATGTTCGGCTTCCAAAAAACTTTCGCAAACCGGAACACTTACTTCCGGGTTTGTGGCGTTCGGGAGCCAAAACATTCAAGTCACAGGGCGTTCACGAACCAAGGTATGACTGTTATACAAATTATCAAAATGTTATCAAAGTTGTAAATTTTTTTTAAAAAAAAAGGTTTAAAAGGGCTATACACAGAAAAGGTATCTATCTTCATTTGCTTGTTTTTACTTTTACCCTAAAAATGAAGCTTCCTGGGTGGGCATTAAATTCAAACAGTATTTGTTTATAATAACAAATATTTTACCCCATTTCTCGATATTCCTAGTTCCCCTTTAATGCACACTGTTACCATGTTCCATTGATTCAACACCTCTACATACTTTCCCTAATCCTTCTGCACAGTGGTTAGATTGATCACATTACACTGCTCCAACATTTTTCTCAATTTCTATTTAACTTGTTTGGTTTCTGTGTATTCTTCCATGCTTTTCAATAATCCCAAACACAATGGTAGCTTAGCCATTTGCAAACACAAAACTGTGGTAATTCAGGAACTGTTGGAGGACTCCTAAGAAGTTCTGATTTTCTTTTTCTTTTTTAAATAACTTTTTATTAAGTTTTCCATTCAACAATCCAATCATATCACATCAGTTATTCCAAATTTTACCAATACATATCATAAAGTCCAAATATTTTGCCAAATTTTAAATTTTTGTTGGGGGTTCCTATGCTTCAAGTTCAGTAAGGGTCCAGTCATCTCATATTTCTGCTGCTTTTGATGTTCACAAGTCGCATCTTCCAATCTTCTTGTTATCGTTTTTTTTCTTAATAACCTCTGAGTTGTTTCCACAGGCGAGTTAGAAGCAAGCATTATTATGTTTTTTTATGTTCTGATTTTCTGTGAGTTGTAGAGAGGAGTTAGGTCCAGATTGGTCCCCCTCTCGTTTCTCTTTGCATACTGAAAAACAACAACAACAACAGCAACTTCTGTATTGGCTTTTAGCATGTCATCTGATCAGTCTTTGTTTTGTACTGGTGATGTGAAGTAGCAGAACAACTTTAGAGTGTATGCAGGACATGTTGCAACAATCAATTAAATTCTTAGTGTCATATTTCTTTCCTTCATTTTGCTTTTGTCTTCAGGGACACCACTTTTGGTGAGAAGGAGCAGTGATCCAGCCTTAGGCCCACCTGTTGAATTTGCTGCTGGAGCTTTGAATGCCAATGAACATGTTCTGAAGACATCTGTGACAGTAGGTATCTTGTGCTTCTGAATTCTGTTACCATTGTTCCTAGTAATATCAGACTACTTAGAAATTAATATTAATTAGCAGCAGGTAGTAGCTTGTTCCAAAAAAATCACAGGAAGAGTTCCACTTGAACGTGGGTGGGCAACCTTTTTGGCCTTGAGTGGCAGGGCAGTTGGACTATGGCTGGAGCCAATGATTGGCATGGTCTGGGTAAATGGTGAGTGTGGCTTTTCGTACTAGGTCAATGGGGCTCCTTGCTCCACCTTCGACAGCAGCCCTCCATGCTCTCCAAAACGATCCACCTGAGGAGTTGGGAGGGGGATCTCCAACAGCATATGTGATTGTTATGGCTATCGGGTGGTTGCTCGAGAGCAATCAGGCAAGATGCCTCAGTGGTCTGTTCTAGAGCTTTATTATTGGTGCTAAAAACCTTTACAATGCAGAGCGCCTCTATTTCATGTCTTGCTCATTCACTAGCAGAATCTGAGAGTGGGCGGTCCTTAAACTTTCCCCAGCAGAGTAGTCTCTTGACCCCCCAGCCCACGCCTCCCCTCTCTGCGTGAAAGCCTACTGCGCAAGGAAGGCTTGGGTAAAGGGGGACCTCTCTCCTCCCAGCTTTGCTCAGGCAAGGTGTCCTGGCACCGCCTCGCCTCCTGCGAGCCCTGCATCTCCTCCCCACTAGAGGCGTGGCTTCCTTCCTCCACTGAGGAAGTGCTGCTTCCCACGATCTTTGGAGGCTCTCTGTAATCCATCCGTCTTTCCCCCCCTCGCCCCTGAGCCGATGGCAGTTCTCAGACAGTAATGAAGCATATTCTGCTTTAGTTGTGGGAGGAATCAAAGGTGCCTTCTGAAAAAGCAGCTATTTCTATCCAAGCTACGACTTCTGATATTTGCCCTGAGATACATCCGGGGCCGGGGGGAGCCACTTGGGATAGGCATAGCCTTATTCACCTATTCATACTCACATGTTTTCATTTAAATATATACCGTATTTTTCGCTCTATAGGGCGCACCTGACCATAGGGCGCACCTAGTTTTCAGAGGGGGAAATCAAGGAAAAAAATATGATTTCCCCCTCCCCAGCTCTGGGAGCAGTGGACAGGCTGCACGCAGCCTGTGTGCTTCTCCCAGACCTTCTCCCTGCTTTTGCGGGAGGTGGGGGATTTCCCCCATCTCCCACAAAAGCCCACAGGAGGGAGAAGGGACTGACTCGGCCAGTCAGTCCCTTCTCCCTCCTTGGGGAAAAGCCCCCAAGAGCGGCGCGCTCTTTAAAGGCTGCGCTGCTCCTGTGGGCTTTTCTACGAGGAGGGAGAAGGGACTGACGTGGCCAGTCAGTCCCTTCTCCCTCCTGGGGAAAAGCTCACAAGAGCCGCACTGAGCTTGTGTGCGGCTCTTGGGGGCTTTTCCCACCTGCCTCGCCCTGCATTCGCTCCAAAGGACGCACACACATTTTCCCTTGCTTTTTAGGAGGGAAAAAGTGCGTCCTATAGAGAGAAAAATACGGTAGTTATTAGGCAAACACAATTCTCATGATGAAACACAATACAGTAGAAGACTGGCTTGCTTTTAACTCTCTTGTACGAATGTGTGTGTCTGTTGTGTTGCCATTTTTAGCACCGTGCCGAACCCAGACCATTTTGGTGCTGCATTTAATAGCAACCACAATCACATGAGATACAAGAATGCAGACTCTTTCGCTGCATAATGTGTGATTATTTAAATTCGATGTGAGGAAACTTTGGCCTTCCAGATGTTGTCGGACTACTTCCATGACAGTTGGCCTTGTTGTAATTCAGCAATGCCTTCAGGGCCAAGGGTTTCACACACTTGATAAAAACAACAAAACTTATAAATCCTCTGATTATTTCTTACATTTCTTAGAGATATGCAGCAATTGCATTAGCTTCAGGTACAGGATCCGATTGGGACTCCTAAGATACATGTATGGGTTTTTTAAGGAGCCATCATTTGAGCCTCCTGTGTATGATATGGGAAATGCCTGTGTAATATTTGTGTATTCGCAGCAACGAAAAGGTCGTATGAACTGTAAAGTCTCTTTTTTTCATGCATACACCCAGACCCATGGGTTTTCTCACCCGTGATGCAGTTCTGTTGCACCCACAGTTGTTGAAGCTAAGCACGTCTGTCCCTGTAGTCTGTCTGGGCTTGGAAATTCCCTGGAAAACATGCAAGCCACCGAGTTCCTTGGGGAACGAGGGGAGTGTTAAATACAATACAATTACAAAATGGGAGGCTCATTGCTTAATAGCATTGAATTCACACCAAATTATTTGACTTGGTTTATATGCAACTTTCTGAAGGTGTTAACCAGCTCTTACTGTTACATTTGATCTTTGATAGCAGACAGGACAAAGCAGGTGAGGAATGATTGCAATAATAATATGGATGTCTTTTATAACTTATTTCATTGGTCCTAACTGGCATGAGTTTTATACATCCAGATACTGAAAGACGCCCCCGCTGTCCACTCACTATAAGTGAGATTATTATTTTTCTTTATAAAGCTATTAAATATCGGAGTTGATATTTATGGAAAATTCCATGGGAATGTAGGATTTGTGGTTTGACTTGGCTTTCTCTTTGCAAAACTGAAGGTTTTCCCGTGAAATTGGAAGTATTTACTAATGTAGCTTGTACACACCTATTTCCTAGAACAAATATGGACAGAAATCAAAGAGTCATAATGAACTCATTAATATACATCTTCTACATTAAGCTGAGTTTGGAGTATGGTTAATTAATATTGCACTGTTAGGCCACACCACCAGGAAGATGCTTGAAGGAGACACGGGATTTAGATTTAGTTCAAAGAGGAAAGTACAGTAAAGGTTAGGATTCCTTGTATAGATGTTTCAGGGGAAAACAACCCAGATCTGAGAGAATGAGCCATGGGCTTTTTGCAAGTTCTATATCCAAGCTGATGAAAGAATTATATACAGAACCCACACAATTCATATTTCCATCACAGAAGCTCAGTATGCTTTCCTGCGTTGTAAAAATTCTGAGCATAAGACCAGATATGTGCATCGCTTTAAGTGAAATAAAGGTAGAATACTTTGATGTATGTGATTTGCTGAATAAGAGAGTGATTGCAACATTGGTTAATCTTTTTTTTAAAAAAAATATATTAGAAATTCCAACACAATAGTTTTAAGAAAAATACATCATCCACATTGTTTTCCCACCTCCATTTTTTCCCTCCCCCCTGAACAGAAAACCCAACCCCAGACTTCCCTCAGCTCCTTTCTCTGGTTTCTCAACACCTCTTTCTATTTGCATGTTATAAAATTGTAAAGATCCTCAAATTATCTATCTATATATTACAATAAAGAGTTGGTGAATGTTTATTCAAAACCTGCCAAAGAGTCCAGTTCATTTTGTTGCTTCTTCAGATATTTCATAAAAGGTTCCCATTCGTCTTTGAAATCACCGTTATCCTTGTCACGTAGTTTGTGTGTCAGTTTTGCCAATTCCGCATAGAACATCAGTTTTTCTTGCCACAGTTCTTTCGTCGGGATTTTCCCATTCTTCCATCCTTGTGCTATTAAGACTCTTGCCGCCGTTGGCGCGTACATAAAAATATTTTTTAATTTCTTTGGCAGGTCTTTTCCCACAATCCCTAATAAGAAATCTTCGGGCTTTTTCACAAATGTTAAATGAAACATATTCTTTAACTCATTATATATCATTTCCCTAAATATTTTAATTTTACTGCAATCCCACCACATATGATAAAAAGTCCCTTCTTTTTCCTTACATTTCCAACATAGGTTTGAGCCAGTTTTATACATTTTCCCTAATCGTACTGGTGTTATGTACCATCTGTGGTTAATCGTTTTTAAGAAGAGTTTCATAGTGTCGTGCTGTAGCTTAGTGAGCCGTAATAGGCAGAAGGACAGATGTGTGGACACTTTGCTTTTAGCAGAATTTGTCTGTAGTGAATAACACGTTACATAGTTTATTTTATATCTTACATACACAATCACAAATAATTAATTGGAAAGCGAAATGGCACATGATCTAAATTCATAATGTAGGCTATGTAAATGTAGGCTTGGAAGAAATGAACAATTTACCGAACACGTTTACCAAGAGGATGTTGTGTTCCAGCAAGAAGAGCTTTCTATCTAGTCTTCCAAATTCAACTAGATTGCTTTCTTGCAATTAATAAAAGTCAGGTCTGGTGTTGCCCTGAAGTATGAACTAAATATTGCTTCAGTTAACTTGAACATGTCGATGGATTAAGTAGTATTTCCTTACAGTTAACTATTTAGAAGGTTGTAATAAATGTACAAGGGACGCGAGTGGCGCTGTGGGTTAAACCACAGAGCCTAGGACTTGCCGATCAGAAGGTCGGCGGTTCGAATCCCCGCGACGGGGTGAGCTCCCGTTGCTCGGTCCCTGCTCCTGCCAACCTAGCAGTTCGAAAGCACGTCAAAGTGCAAGTAGATAAATAGGTACCACTCCGGCGGGAAGGTAAACGGCGTTTCCGTATGCTGCTCTGGTTCGCCAGAAGCGGCTTCGTCATGCTGGCCACATGACCTGGAAGTTCACCTGCTCCCTCGGCCAATGAAGCGAGATGAGCGCCGCAACCCCAGAGTCGGTCAAGACTGGACCTAATGGTCAGGGGTCCCTTTACCTTTTACCTAATAAATGTACTAATTTTAAAGCTCAAGCCAATGATGTGAGATAGTTATGTATAATATATAAGCTCAAATACATGGCCATAAGTAGGTGTTTTATTGCCACTTGCAGAACCACTATTGGTCAAATGAGTTGCGTAAGAAAGGAAAGAAGAAGAAATGAAATGAAAATACCTTCCATTGTTGAGAGTTTGGAACAAATATTGTTGAGGACAGGGGCCTCAACCTCAGACCTTTTTCTGTTTACACTTTACCATGTGACTTTTTCTCTTCATGAGACAATTTGTGTGTACAGCACGCATGTTTGCATTGCATGAACTATGAGTGGAAGTAAAATAG